AATCACCAATTATCTTTTTTTGCCATTTTTTTTTTTTTTTTGGAAGACCCAGCAAAAGAGGCGGCTTTACAGCTCGCCATGGGAACTGCAGTTGTGGACAAGGAATGGCTGATATGTCCCTGGGAGGTCAGTCTCTAGCAGGTGGTCAGGAAGACACAAACCCTGCACCCAGGGACAGTGTGGATCCAGCTGTGCCCTGCTCCTGAACACCTGGAGGCCAGGTTCCCTGGGGGGGCAGCATCACAGGCAGAGTGGTGCCCCAGTACCCCCACTGGGGAAACCCTGCCTTGGTGCCACCCAAAACAGACCATCAAAGGAACCGGCGTGACTTTTTTTTTTGGAAGCAGATACAACTGGAGGGCTGTAGTTAACCTTGGCCAAACTCTTCCATTGTTATTTTACTGTTGCTTGATGTTCTGAAAGATATTTAGAAAAATGACTTTAACTGTCCTGTGCCAAACTGGGCGAGGGTGAAAAAAAAATGAAATTTGGCAGACATGTTGTTCATTCAGCATGTAGTTTGGATGCCGTCCAGTGACTAACACAGGAGTTTTAACTGATCTGGGAGACTAAAAACCATTCACAAATAATTTGATTTAGGGTCACTGTGATTTCTTTTTATAAATAATTTTCATTGAGAAGTATTTTTTTAATTAGGATCGACAGACCTAATAGCAACTCTATTGTGTGCGCAGTTCATCTTTCCCATCTTCATAAATGACTTACATATGTGGTGTGCTAGTTTCTTGTTCACTGCACACGATGGGGCTTGTTCACGGAGCAACCAACGCCTTGCAGACAGTGCACAAGCCATGCTGGGCACCTCTGAAGACCCAGATGGAAAGCAAAGGAAGCTTTCACCATCCTATTACATGCTCCGGTCCGGCAGCTGGTCTTAAGCCTTTGCACAACTTCAGACATCCCACGCGGCTGTAACCGCCTTCTAATTGCTCCGGCTCCTAGAGATGGGGACAGCAACTTTGCTTTGATTGCTTTATTGCTCCAAGTCCCATCACGATTCAGGAAATACTCTGAACCAGAACATCCTCCCTTTTCCATGGTGGGAGGGCTGAACAAGGACTGTCCCAAGGCAAAGATGTGACACATCCTGGCAAAAACCTGTGTTCAACGGCAGGTCTTAGCTCGGTCGCCCCCTAACCCAGTGGATCACCCAACTAAGCCAGATCAGATCTGGGAAGACTGCAGGAGAATTTGGAATGGCAGAAGAATGGCTGAGCGATTCGAATGCATCTTTCTTGGCAACATCCTCCATGTGTGACAGCCTTTTCTTTGACTCGCACAATAACAATTGCATCTCAGCCACTTTTGTTACAAATCTTATCTGTCGTTTGAATGGCTCTTAGATTCCCTCCTGTGATTATAAATGTTCGTACAAGTTCTTGGAGTCAGCAAAGTTGTTGTTTTGTAGCTGAATAACAGGCCTGGGCTCCAAACTTTATGATGCTCGCTGTAATGATCAGATATGTTCTTAAAAGCCCTCCGAATTGGATTTCAAAACAAAAGTCCCATTGATCTTAAGCCTGAAATCCCAGCCATGACTCTGAAAACCTTCTCCCGTCTTCCAGACGAACCGAAACTGGTGCGATAAAGCATGACTGCAACAGTCAAAGAAAAGGTTTATCTCATGAGAGAAAACTACCAAAACTTGGTCTTTAATTTAGAGTACCAGAACAGGGGCTGAAGGGGATATAATTGCTACTGAAAGACACATGGAAGGGTAGAAAACATGAGAAAACCATACGAAAGCTCTGAGATGAAAGTTGCGGAGCTGTGTAGAAGCCCTTGATATATTCAGGCTTGGGATTAAAAGATTTCTGATTTTCAGAGCACAGAGGTTGTGGGATGGGTTTCAGCAGCACGCACAGAAGAAGCCAACACGAAGCCTGATAAACATATGGGACATATTGATACAACTACACCAGCAAGGGAGGGCAGCGTGTGAGCAAGGAGGTCCCTGCAAGATCCCTATCCAGTCTTTGGTCATCAGCACCTGCACAAGATATGAAGAGATTCCCCCGTCTCCTGCTTTTGTCTATCGCCTTTGTCCATCCTGTTTTGCACCTCGCTTTGTTCAAGCAGTCATCCCAAGGCTTTCCTTGGCCACGTTACCTTGTTTGAATGTTGGGCAGATGGATGCAGGTCCCTGCAGCACAACCACAGCCAGCCAGCCAGAAGGGACTGCTATGGTAGAGGTCCTACTGAAAAAGATTACCTGTTGTGAAGAAAAAAGCACATTTTTTGCTTTGTCCTGTTTACTTAAATAAGCAAATGCCTGTATTCAAGCCAAATCCAGACTCCAAACCAGAGTATTAGGTAGTTGCTGTGACTAGCAACACAGAAAGGCTGGGCAAGCAGGGTCCCACCAACTCCGTCCCACCATTGGCAGGTTTGTCCCCAGGATCACCAGTATCCATCTGGAGTGCATCCACTCTGAAAGCAATAACACTGGCCTGTGTTGGGGAGGGAAAATAACCTCTGCTGCAGGCCACCCTTGATCAACATCATCACCACCAGAATTCTCACACCACCGTGGTCAGAGACAGACTTGGCCATGCGCTTCCTGGGTGCCAGGATTTCACTAAATGCATTTCCTCAGCAGTTACAGATATTTACCAGCTCCTCTGAGTGAATAAAGCAGTGGGTTAGGCTCATAAGGGTACCTGCTGGTGTTAACAAGAGGCATCATTGTTAGGCCTCAGCTAAAATTGTTTAATGTCATTTGTCTTAAGGATAAAAAGAGTAAATCGAGAGGGACTTGCTGGAGTATTAACCCTCAGCCTGCCACAGGGGTGCAGTGCAGCAATGCTGTCCTGGCCGCACAGTTCCCATGCCAGGGACCCACAGGGAGAGGTCTCACGTTGGGCTGGGCTGAAAATTAAATGTAGCGTCCACGTTACCGCCATGCGTCCTGGGCATTCAAGGCATTTCTGCAAGCTGACAAGAGAGCTGCCTACAGCTTGCAAGCTGCATCTCTGAAACATTGCTTCTGTATTAAAAGGGAAGTTTTCCTCTCTCTGTTGTTTCTTGTTACCCACGGAGTCACTTGTAACAAAGGCTTTAAGCATAATGATAGGACAGACTGGGGGTTCCCCCCATAGTAACCAACTTAAGCCTTCGCCTCTTTCTCCTTGCACACCCTATTTCCCCCTGGCGCAGAGCCATGTCTCACCGGCAACCCTGACACCCGCCTCGCCACACGACAGCTCTTGGTGCGCCATGCTTTTCTGGATGCCTTTCGTGCACCTCACCCTCCTGGAAGCAGCAGGGAGGGGATCTAAAAACAAACAAACAAACAAACAAACCCCACAAAAAAAAAAAAAGACACTTTCTTCGCCACCCCAGACGAAGCCTCCTCACTTGGGCTGCAATTCGGGCTGTGGGCTTCAGGGCTTGGCAACAAGGGCTGGAAGCAGAGGGATTTCCTCGATACCCCCCCCAAAAAGCGGCAGTATAATAAAAAGCCACCGGTCACCCCCGACGGCGCTCCCCACCCCCCCCGGGGGCTGCTGGCGGGGCCGGGAAGCGCCGTCGATGCACCGGGGGTGGTGGTGAAGGCCCGGTGCTGAGCGGGG